TGCGATCCTATCTTAGCCACTGCATATTTGGGGTCTCTTCATCATAACTATAATCTACCCTAATATGCAATGTCCCCATTGATTTTCTAAGCAAGATAGCATTTCAGCATTGTTTCCACTGGTTGGAGACGGTGGGTAGAAGCCAAGGGACTCCACAGTAGACTACCAACAGTTAAACTTCACTTGCTTTCCTTGGCTAGTGCATCGGCTCACGTTGTTCCCAGGGCACCACTTTGTGTTCAGTTCATCAAAATTGCATCACAGCACCATTGGTTTATTTAGATAAGATGAAAATTTTTAAATCTTTGCTGAAATAAAAACCTAAAAGAATTATAGGGGCACCTGTATGGCTCAGTTGGTTAAGTCTCTGCCTTAGGCTCAGGTCATGATCCCAGGGTCCTGGGATCCAGCCCCAAATTGGGCTCCCTGCTCAGCGGGGAGTCTGCGTCTCCCTCTCCCTCTGTGAGCTCTCTCTCTCTATCTATCTCAAATAAGTAACTAAATCTTTTTTTTTAATCTAGAAGAATTGAAAAAAAATCTAGAATAATTGTTGTTTTATGTTTTATGCATGGAGGATGAGGAAGTGCCAAAGATCCTTTCTGCATAAATAAAGGAAGTTCACAAGTATTTATACTTTTTTAAAAACATAAATGTCCATTAAAAATGTCTGTAGAACAATACATTATTAATCAAAATGGGCCAATCAGAATGACAGCCTTCTTAGAAGTTGTGGAATACTTTCACAGGTAACAAAAATATCTAAGTTCTGGTGATTTACAAGACTATTTAACTGAGGAGAGTCTATAAGAATAGCTTCACCAGACAGAATGCCACCTACTTTTCTCTGCAGTTGTAGGGGAAGATGCAACATTTTCTCTTATCTTGCAGAGAGTTCTTGCACTGGTAGTTAGAAGAGCCTAGAGTTTCAAGGCCAAGCAGGGAAATTCCATTAGGAAATCTGCCCTGAGATGCCCAGAATTTACAATAGGGAGGAAAAGAAGATAGAATAGGGTCATTAGCAAATAAAATACAAAGCATGTAATATTTTACATCTACATATTAATAATTGGCATGAAGTTGCTACAGTAAAGGAGATTTGGAAGGATTTTTAAAATATTTTATTTATTTATTCATCACACACACACACACACACACACACACACAGAGGCAGAGACACAGGCAGAGGGAGAAGCAGGCTCCCTGCGGGGAGCCCATTGCAGAACTCAATCCCAGGACCCCAGGATCACTACCTGAGAGAAAGGCAGAAGCTCCGCCACTGAGGCACCCAGGAGTCCCGGGATTTGAAAGGACTACCTATAAACTGATTATAAAGATTACATGAAAGACAAGACATTTAAGATTATCCAAGAAAACTTTGAAAAAAATATATCAAAATATAGGATAAAACCATTATATGTAAGAAATGTAGATAAGAGGAAGATAGATCAGTTGTGCTTTCATTTTCTTTGTTTCCATGAAGTTTTTAAATTCTTCTTTAATTTCCTGGGGGTTTTGTTATTTATTCATGAGAGACACAGATTGAGAGAGAGAGAGAGAGAGAGAGAGAGAGAGAGGAAGAGACACAGGCAGAGGGAGAAGCAGGCTCCATGCAGGGGAGCCTGATCTGGGACTCGATCCTGGGATTCCAGGATCACGCCCAGGGCCGAAGGCAGGCACTAAACCACTGAGCCACCCAGGGATCCCCTAATTTCCTGGTTGTCTCGTTCATTCTTTAGTAGATTCTCTTTACCCTCCATGTACTTGAGTTCTTTCCAAATTTCCTCTTGTGATTGAGTTCCAGTTTCAAAGCATTGTGGTGTGAAACTATGCAGGGAATGACCTCAGTCTTTTAGTACTGGCTGAGACCTGATTTGTGACCCAGTATGTGATCTTATTCTGGAGAATGTTCCACGTCCACATGAAAGGAATATGTATTTTGTTACTTTAGGATGGAATGTTCTGAATATATATCTATGAAGTCCATCTGGTGCAGTGTGTCATTCAAAGCCCCTGTTTCCTTATTGATCTTCTGCTTAGATAATCTGTCCATTGCAGTGAGTGGGGTGTTAAAGTCCCCTTCCATTGTTGTATTATTATCTATGTGTTTCTTTAATTTTGTTATTCATTGGCTTATATAACTGGCTGCTCCCATGTTAGAGGCATAGGTATTTACAATTGTTAGATCTTCTTGTTGGATAGACCCTTTTATTTATGATATAGTGTCCTTCCTCATCTCTTATTACAGTTTTTGGTTTAAAATCTAATTTGATACAAGGATCGCCGCCCCAGCTTTCTCTTGATATCATTAGCATGGTAAATGGTTTTCCATCTGCTTACTTTCAATCTGGCGGTGTCTTTGGGTCTAAAATGAGCCTCTTGCAGACAGCATATTGATGGGTCTTGCTTTTTCATCCAATCTGATACCCCGTGTCTTTTGATTGGAGCATTTAGCCCATTTACATTAAGAATAACTATAAAAAGATATGAATTTATTTAGTGCCATTGTATTACCAGTAAAGTTACTGTTTCTGTATATTGTCTCTGTTCCTCTCTGGTCTATGTTACTTTTTGGACTCTCTCTTCACTTAAAGTGTCTCTTTTAATATTTCTTTTAGGGCTGGCTTGGTGATCACAAATTCTTTAAGTTTCTGTTTCTTCTGGAAGCTTTTTGTCTATCCTTCTATTGTGAATGACCTCCTAGCTGGATAAAGTATTCTTGGCTACGTATTTTTCTCACTTAGCACTCTGAATATATCATGCCAGTCTTTTCTGGCCTGCCAGGTCTCTGTGGACAGGTCTCCTGACAGGCTGATGTGTCTACCCTTATAGGTTATGGATCTCTTGTCCCAACCTGCTTTCAGGATTTTCTCTTTGTCTCTGAGATTTGTAAGCTTCACTATTGTTTGTTGGGATATTGACCTATTTTAATTAATTTTGAGGAGGGTTCTCTATGCCTCTTGGATTTGGATGCCTATTTCCTTCCCCAGATTAGGGAAGTTCTTGGCTATAATTTGCTTCAATTCTGCCCCCTTCTCTCTTTTTTCTTCTTCTGAAATCCCAACTATAGTAATATTGTGTTGCTTTGTGGATGACTTATCTCTCAAATTCTCCCCTCATGATCCACTAGTTGTCTATCTCTCTTTTTCTCAGCTCCTTTATTCTCCATCATATTGTCTTCCAGATCACTAATTCTCTCTTCTGCCTCATTTATACTAGCAGTTAGAGCCTCCATTTATTTTTGCATCTCATTAATAGCCTTTTTTATTTCCACTTGATTAGATTTCAGTTCTTTTATTTCTCCAGAAAGGGATTCTCTAGTGTCTTCTATGCTTTTTTCAAGGCCTGCTAGTATCTCTTTTTAAAAGATTGTGTTTATTTATTCATGAGAGGCACAGAGAGAGGCAGAGACACAGGCAGAGGGAGAAGCAGACTCCCTGCAAAGAGCCCAATGTGGGATTCAAAGCCAGGACCCCAGGATCACAACCTGAGCCAAAGGCAGATGCTCAACCACCGAGCCACCCAGGTGTCCCCCCTGCTAGTATCATTTAACCATTATTCTGAACTCTAGTTCTGACATCTTATTTATGTCCATACTGAATAAGTCCCTGGCATCAGTACTGCCTCTTTTTGAGAGTAAGGTGGCAGCTCTGGGGAACACTAAACATGGAATTACCATATAAACTGGATATTTGACATCTACCTAAAAGTCACTATGACTTTTTATTCTGTGACTTCACTGGACCTGAAGGGGCATGATTTTGTGTCTTAGAGAACATTCAAACCATGTGTCTTGCTTTTCTCTCCACCAGCCTGTTTGAAAAAAAACGAAAACAAAAACAAAACAGTGGCAGGGACTCCTGCCTAGTGCGGTTGGCAGACCATGCAATTCTTGATCTTGGGGTTCTGATTTCAAGCCCCATATTGGGCCTCTAGCTTACTTTTAAAAAAAGAGTTATTTCCAGAAAGCAATGGGATTTGAAGTGTTCTCTGTAAGGGAGTAGGGGGGAAACCTGTCAGAATGAAAGTATCTGACAAGGAACCAATGATGATAGTGAAGGGGGGTGATCCCCAAGAAAAGGGGGCATGGTCTCCAAAGAGAAGGGGTGCCTCTGGGTTTGACCCCCAGGACCAGGACCCTGTCACATCATTACCTAGAATCCTTCAATAACTGTTTCCTAAAGGTCAAGACTAATTTCCTGAAAAAAAAAAAAAAAGACTAATTTCCTGGCACCACCTTCACCTGTCTTCTAGCCCCAGTTGCTCCCACTGCCCCCCTGCACAGCCTCCCCAGCTGCAGTGTTCCTGTCTGGTGCCCAGACCAGGCCACGCTCTGCCCCCAGAACCCAGCATTGAACTCCTCTCTGTGCCTCTCTCTGTGTGTCTCTCATGAATAAATAAAAATCTTTAAAAATAAAATATCTACAAAAAATCAATACCCACAGATGGTCATATTAACAAACAAAATGTCTAAGCTTATTTTTCCAAAGTTTTCATCAGATACAGAAGCTGGATCTTATTGATTCTTTTGTTGTCACTCGTTACAATAATGAGGGGTTTTTCTAAAGATTTTATTTATTAATTCATGAGAGACACACACAGAGAGAGAGAGAGAGAGAGAGAGAGAGAGAGAGGCAGAGACACAGGCAGAGGGAGAAGCAGGCTCCATGCAGGGAGCCCGACGTGGGACTTGATCCCGGGTCTTCAGGATCAGGCCCCAGGCCGAAGGCTGTAAACCACTGAGCCACCCGGGCAGCCCAATAATGAGGGTTTTAAAAGTATTTTTCTAGTTTCTTATTTTAGCTTTCCGACAGGGGAACTGCAAATGGTTAAAGACTTGGACACACACACACACACACCCCGCCCAGTTTTCTTCCATTTATCATCTTCTAAGTGAGCCATGAGACAAAAATCTTGAGAATTGCTGTGAATGGTTTGCTTTTTACTGTGTCTGGCTTCAGGATCTGTAATAAAGTCTGTCCAGTTAGAAAGGTGTTCATACATATTTTTTAATTTTTTTTATTTGAAAGATGGCAGAGAGCACAAGCAGGGGGAGCAACAGGCAGAGGCAGAGGGGGAAGCAGATGCCCCCTCTGAGCAGCAAGCCCAACCTGGGACTCGATAGATCCTAGGACCCTGGGATCATGACCCCAACCCAAGGCAGACACTCAACAGACTGACCCACCCGGGTGCCCCTGGCCAATATTTGCTTTAGAACAGTTTGCTCTAACTTCTTTCCTTTTGTTGTCTAAAATCTCTGTTCATTGCCATTAAATCAAACTCGGTTCAAAATCGTATGTGGCTCATAAAAGGTGTGGAGCAATAGGTAGGGACATCCTCTCCTGCTCTTGGAACCTGGCTCTTCCCTGCCCCAGGGAGACCCAAAGGATGAGGGAGGCAGCGGGAAGAGGCCCTTAGGGGGCCCGTCTAGAATAAAAGTGTCTGCCAAGGGCACAGAACATGGAAAGGTGACCCTTGGTGGGGGGGCTGGGGCTGCGGGGGTGGGACTGGAAGCGCTGGGGGTGGGCGCGGCTCCGCAGAAGGCAGCACTCAGATGGCCACACTGTTTTCCACCAGGCTGGGCTGCAGGTACTGGTAGGGCATGTCCAGCTTTGCATTCCGGGTCTCAATTTCCTTCTCCAAAACAGCCAGCTCCTCCCTAAACCTCTTCAGCACGTCCTTGGGTCCAGGGCCTGAAAAATACTCCTCCTGGTGCTGGCCCAGAGCCACCTGGTGGAGAGAGGAAGGCAGCTGAGAGCCTGCGACCCGCACTCAGCGTGGAGGGTGTGCTGCCTCCCTCACCTGCCCGCCCCCCCCCCCCCCGGCCCCCAGGGGCGCCCCACTGCCAGCACCATCACAGGCTGGCGGCGGCCCAGCTGCCAGGTGATGGACATCTGCAGCGAGGCCTGATGGAAGTTGGGCAGTGTTGCCATAACTGTCTCCAGTGTCACGTCCTTGGTGGTAGGAGGCGGCAGCCGCATGGTGCAGGGCGCGTTAGGGACCCAAGTGTACCAGTCCAGCTAGGGAGGGAGAGGCAGATGTCTAGAGTCAGTGCCTGCTAAGCACAGAAGCCCCTCAGCCCACCTGCACACAGCCCTCTGCACCACTCCAGGTGCAAACTCCCAGCTGCCCACTATGGTCCGTACCTGGCCCAGGTGGGTGGACGAGTGCTGGCCAGTACAGGTGAATATACACATGGTGAGAAAGTGACACATCTGGTCGCGGGACTGTAAGGAGTTGGGGAACCCTGCAGGGGGTTCAGGGGAGGAACAGAAGCACAGCTCAGACACAGGGCAGGGAGGGGAGACCACAGGGGTGAGGAAGGGCACTCGGTCCTCTCAGGGTCCCTGGGCGCTGATGGCAAGCTGGGTTGGAATGGGGGTGGGGGGATCTGCTGGGTGGCTCCTGCTGGCCCATTACCGGTCAGGTGTTTAGCAAGCTGGCTACCATCACATTGGTAACCACAGTGGAAATATTCACAGCACGAAAATGAGCAAATGCTACAAATCAGGGCTCCCCTTTCCCACCGCCCCCCTACGCGCCTCCCCCCCCACCCCCGCCCGCCCCAGGGAGCTGGCTGTTAAACATTTACAAACAGCCATGGGTCTTGAGGCAGCTAGGACCTAGAGGAGTTCCCAGGGGATATGATGGGACCTGTCTCTAGCTGGTAGAAAAGGAATCTGGGAGGGCCTTTGGGCATTTTCACTGGGTTGGAAATGCTTCTGGAAGATTCCACAGAAATAGGATTCTGGGGAGGTTCCCAAGGGAACTATGTGGCGTTGGAGGTCCCAGGCGGGGGCTAGCCTTACCTTGGTCCTGAGCCCCCCGCAACCCGACCTCAGTGATCTCTCGACACCAAGTCTGCAGCTCCAGATCATCTCTCACAGCCTCGTTCGTCTTGTAGTGGAGATACACGATGCCCTGCACGTAGCTGCGCCCCAGGGTGGGGGTCAGGAGGGCTGCAGCTTGCCAAGAGCCTCCGGCCCTGGGCTCCTCCCCCCTCACCTGCCTGGGTCAGGGGCCCCAGCCCCCCAGCTGAGACACAGGCTGTCCTGAGTCCTCCCCACCCACCCCTGCCTCGCCCCTCCTCACCGGTAGAGGATTTCCCAAAGCCTCAGAGCATCCTGCACATAGAAGGAAGACTCGACTCCCAGGAGCCCCCGGTCGGCCAGGTCAGTGGGGGACAGAAGGAGCGGTAGGTTAGGAAGGCTCTGGCTCGCTGGAGCAGCTCCACATGGCCTCCGCCACCTGTGCTCACCACCTGAGGAGCGAGGGCCAGGTGGCGTCAGGCAAATCAGCCAGCCCTAGGGTGGGGGGGGGTGTGGAACCCAGAGCCAAGGGGAGAGTGGGCTCCAGAATGCCCCTGCCTTCCTCCTACCTGGTCAAAAACGCCCTTGTCAGAGATGAGCCCCGTCCTGGCCCGAACGTTAATTTCCAAGGTGTAGCGCAGATGGGGGATGAGAAGCTGTGTGTGTATATATATGTATATATAGTATTTATATATTGATACATGATATGGAGACAATATTTCTATATGGATACATGATACATACATAGACAAAATTACATAAAATTTCTCCCCCTGTGAAATTTTCATGCTAGGGATCCCTGGGTGGCTCAGCAGTTTAGCGCCTGCCTTCAGCTCAGGGCGTGACCCCGGGTCCTGGGATCGAGTCCCACATCGGGCTCCCCGCAGGGAGCCTGCTTCTCCCTCTGCCTGTGTCTCTGCCTCTCTGTCTGTGTCTCTCATTAATAAATAAATAGAATCTTTTTTAAAAAAAAGAAATTTTAAAGCTAGATATACTGTATCTGTTATGTACTATATGCATATATGTGTTTTATACATAAAAATAGTAAGTTTTTTGCCTCCCCAGAAGCACTTTCACCCATCTGGGGGGCATAACAGCCCCCCACTTGAGAATGCATGGCCTAACCTGCCTGCCTCTGGAACATCATCTCCTACCCTCTCCCCTTTGTCCATTCTGAATCTACTGGTTTTTTTATTGCCTTTTTTTTTCCCAAGATTTTATTCTTTTTTCCCTTTGTCCATTCTACTCACCTTCTTTCTGTCCCTCAAACATCCCAGCCTTGTTCCTGCCACAGGACCTTTTTTTTTTTTTTATTGGCTTTGAATTAATTTTTATTGGTGTTCAATTTACCAACATACAGAATAACACCCAGTGCTCATCCCGTCAAGTGTCCCCCTCCGTGCCCGTCACCCATTCACCCCCACCCCCCGCCCTCCTCCCCTTCCACCACCCCTAGTTCATTTCCCAGAAGGACCTTTGATCAAATGAACCTTTCCTGACCACCGGGCCTACCCACCCTGCTCTGGTTCTCCACATTGTACTTATCACAGCTCATAGGTTCCCATACAGTCTGTATTGTCTGCTAGCCCTTAATGGAAATGAAAATCCCCATTTTCAGGACCTTGCCTATCTTGCCTCTCACTGGCATCCAGAATGGCTCATGCCCCGTGAGATGCACCCCCAAGAAAACAAGTGAATGGGTGGACAGTCTGTGCTAATTGTCCACAATGAACCGGCTGCCAGTGTTGTCCTGAGTCCCTCTTAATAGCCTATGTGTTACTACTTTAGGATTCTTCAAAACTGGCTGAAAAAATACTTTTTGCTATTTGTATGATCCTCTCTTGTTGGACTCCTCAGTCGTTTGTGTGTACCCTTCCTATAATAGTGGGTGGATATCTGTGGTTTATACATGAAACGGGTAGGACTGCTCACCCTGCACCTCCCCCCACCATGGCTCCTTTTTGCCTCCCCGGGAGGACATGCCACCCCATTCAGAAGGCACAGCAGGCTGTGCTCCTGCTCCTGGCTCACTTGTCTTTCTTGGTTGGCTCTCCCCACCCTGAGAGCCCCCCCAGGGAGGGTGCCATGGGGCCTGGAGAAAGGGGCAGGCTGGAGCGAGGCGAGTAAGGTGCTACCTTGAAGATGGGGTGTATGGATGGAAGGCACCTCATGGTGGCCACGGTGATGACCTCTGCCATCAAGTGTCCCCGCAGAAGGTGAGACTGCAGCTCGTGGATCTGGAAGTCAGAGCTACGGACCCAGCACTTGGCCAGGAGCCAGACCATCGGGGGATCCGTGGGCAGGAAAAGCAGTGGTGGAGGGCATCCCACACGTGGCAGCTGGAGCTGGAGCAGGGACAGGGATTGGGATACCCCACACACACACTGCGCCTCTCCCCTGAGGCTCCCTCCCTGCTGGCTTAGCTCTGCCCACACTTGCCTGCGCTTCCTGCCCCGCAGCCCTCAGCTGGGTGCCTTCTGCAGAAATGGTTCTCTCTCCGCTCTCCCACTGGCCTCCTCTGACCTCACTTCCCCTTCGGCTTGCAGTAGGAGTGATACCGCCTGCACACAGCTGGCTCCGCCCGCAGTCCTGAACTGTCACTGGCCACACGTTACAATCTGGATGTCCCCCTGTTTCCTCAAAGTTGGGCTCTTGATTTTCCTCTTGACTTGTCCTTTCCTCTTGACTTCTGCAGGAGCCTTGCCCAACTCCTTCTCCTCCTCCTCTCTCCCTGAACCCAGGCCAGTTTGATCCTCCTCAGCATCACACAGCTGATCCCCACATCTGAGCCCAGACCCTCTGCCTTGGACAGTCGCTGAACCCATTGCCCAAATCCTAGGGTCTGGCATCCCCCTCCTGGGCCCCAGCCTGAACACAGGCGCCGGCCACAGCACCCTGCCTCGGCTTCCTGTGCTCCTGCACCCCAGCTGGGCCCCCACAGCCCACAGGGTGTGGCCCCTCTGCCTCACACTGCTCCCCAGCACCCCAGGCCAGCTGGCCCCTGAGAGTCCCTGGGGAGTCACCTGACCCTCACCTCGGTGGGGTCCTGCCTGAGGGTCTAAGTCCCGAGCCTCCTCCAAGGCTCACATCACCTCCGAAGGACATCCCCAGACTGCTCTGTCCTCAGTGACTTCCTCAGCCCTGAAGCCTCTTCAGACTCACCCAGCCAGTCTCTCCGGCAGCCTGGCCCTTTCCTGTGCCATAGGCCTTTGCAGGGAGTGGGGACTCCGTGAATTTGCATGAGGGTCTGAGCAGGAGGACAAGCACTACTGGGGAGCAACACTCCTGGGTCCTCTCACCTGGATGACCATGGGCAAGAGTTTCCCATCAGGCTGCAGTTTCAGCATGACCAGAGGGGCGGCCAGGTACTGCTGGCTGCACAAGATGACATTGGCCTTGATCCCGTCCAGCAGCGCGAAGTCTGCCTCGAACAGCCTGCCTCCCTGTGTGGGGGTAGCGGGTGAGGGCTGCTGTCCTTGTGACTGTCTCTGCCAACCACTCTTCCTCCCTCCATCGCTGTTCTCACTCAGGGAGGAGGCAGAGTCACATGTCTCAGGGGTCATTCCCGATTTCTCCTGCCAAATCCCTTCTTGCCATCCAGCAGGAAGCTGCCCCCACAAGTGGACCCCAAAGCACAAACACCAACCACACTGCCATTTCAGTGCATGACCTCTTTAGGGCTCTTCTGTGCGTACCTGGAGCTCCTGCTCCAGCTGGATCTGCAGCTCCTCCATCCCCGGAGGGAACTTCAGGCGTGCCGGCAGCTGCCTGGAGCGCCTCAGTATCATGGGGTTAGCACCGTTGAGAAACTGGTACCCAAACAAGGCGTCTTCCTTCCAGGAGTCCCGCACCTTCTCTGGGGGTGACAGTCATAGGGATCTGAGCGCCCCCACCAAACCATCCCCAGTTGACCCCAGCCTACCACAGGGGCCCCCGCCTCTGGTCTCCCAGCCCTGGGTGCCTGGGTTGGGTTGGGTCCGAGATAAGAGCCCTGGGAGAAGCCCTGGGGTGAGGTACTAACTAGCCAACTTGCTCTGGTCACACCAGAAAATTCGGTTGAAGTCATCCAGATCATTCCAGCAAGTGAAGACATTTAAAGAGTCTTTGATGGCTAGGTCTGCCAGCCTTCAGGGAAAGAGAAGCAGAGTTTGAGAGTGATGCTCAGGATCAAACACATAAGGACAGGCACCCACCTGAGGCTGGCCCAGCCCTGTGCAGTCCTCAGCCCTTCGGCCTCCCTGGCATCCAGCCCCCCTGTTCTCACCCCTTTGCCAGCGAAGCCTCAAAATCAATTCTCTTATCTTCCAGAAATCGCTCATCTGCAGGGAGGTCAGAGATCGTGGCCCCAGCGACATTCAGGATTAATCCATCCTTCCAGTTATCCCACCTGCCCGGGAAAAGTGAAAGCAGATGTTGGTAGTGGGGGGGGGGGTGGTCAACAGCTCCCCGGGGGCGGGGTGGGGTTGGGAGGAGTGTGGGGCGCGGGAGTAGCGCTGACCGGTACAGCTTCCTCTTCTTTTCCAGCTCCTTTTCCCTGTAGTCCTTGAACAAGCCTTGATGGTCGTCCACCACCGTCCGGCCTAGACATGGGGAGGAGAGCTTGGGCCGTGAGACCCTCCTGGTCCCGGGTCCCGCCGAGGGCGCCTCGTCAGCCCTCCCTTCCCGCCGGCCCTGGGCCTTCAGCATCACTTCCTCCTCCAACCTCCAGGCGCTGGAGGCGAGTGGGGGGCGCGCGCAGCCCTCTCCCCAACCCCGCGCCCCAGGTCCCAGCTCCCCGTGCCCTGCCTCCCTGCCCTACTCCGCACCCCCCACCCACCGCCCGCAGGCCTCGCACTCCAGCCCCGCGCTCACCGGTGCCCTCGGGGAGGCTCAGGATGCCACTGCCTTCCACCCAGCGGTAGCACGGGAACGTGAACTCTTCCCCGCTAGCCCCGGGGCCCTGAACGGAGATCCAGTTGCAGAACCAGGCGTCGTCCTGAAGGAAGTGCCATTTCTGCAGTTTCACGAACAGCAGCGGCCCCAGGTGCTCCTCCACGTCCACCTTGAATTCCGTCTCCTGCGACGGCAGAAGGGGCTCAGCGTCCGCGGGAAGGGGCCCTTGGACTGAGCCTGGCTCGGGCTGGACGCCCTTCCGTGAGCTTCGGAAACGGCGCGCGGAGGGAGCCAGAAAGAGAAGGGGACACGCACGGGGCGGGTGGGTCGGGGCGACGCAGGGGGAACGTGGGGAGGTGCACTCCTTCCTTCTCTATTTCCTCCCTGTGGACCTCGCCTGCGCCAAGCCCCGAGCCCGGAAGGAGCGCACCGGTGCGCGTGAGACACTGGGCTGAGGCGGCTGCTCCAGCTGCGGCGGCGGCGGCGCCCTCCCCCGCGTCCCCCAGGCTGGGCTCTTTTTTTTTTTTTTTAAATGATAGTCACACAGGGGGGCGGGGGGAGGTGCAGAGACACAGGCAGAGGGAGAAGCAGGCTCCATGCACCGGGAGCCCGACTCGATCCCGGGTCTCCAGGATCGCGCCCTGGGCCAAAGACAGGCGCCAAACCGCTGCGCCACCCAGGGATCCCCAGGCTGGGCTCTTTATTGGCGTGTCCAGGGTCTTGGATGGGTCCTGGGAACACGCAGAAGCCGCTCACAGGTTCCACGCCGGGGCCCGTTGCAAAGTGGGAATGTTTGCGACAAAGCGCTCGGCTGCAGAAGGGCTGGGAAGGGCGGCCCAGAAGCGGCGAGGCAGTGGAGAGGGTGGGTGGAGGTGACCGGGTTCAAGGGCGCCCTGGCGGGCGTGGGGGTGGGAGGCGGAGCTCGGGCCGCGGAGACCCGAGGGGCCAGGAGACCCAGCAGACCGCGCCGGATTCCGGGTTAGAGGCGGAGAGGGGGAGGCGCGAGCTACCGCCGGGGGTGGGGGGCGCTAGGGGCGGGCGGAGGGCCGAGAAGCGTCCATGGGGCAGCCGGATCTGGGGGCTTGGAGAGAGCGGGACAGGCGATGAGAATTGGGGTGTCGGGGCCGAGGCGAGTCTCAGGTGGATGTGATGGGACCGGGGACGCGGGTCGGATATTCGGTGTTCTCATCTCCGCCGGCGCCCCCATTACCACCCCATGCGGCAGAGAAAGCCCCCAAGTCGGACCCCCAGCAACCGCGGAGAAGGCTTGAAACGGCAGCTTTTGAGAATAGAAGGCACCGGAGGACGGACGGCAGGTCCAAGGAAAGGCCGGGCGCGGGAACACGTCCTGAGCGCGCCCTGTGCGCGGCGTCCCGGCTGGAGGCTCCCCTGGCCCCGCGCGCGGCTCACCTGGCCCCGCGCCGGCCGCAGGCGCTTCTGGATCTCCGCTTCCCCGTGCTGGCCCACGAGCCACAGCTGCACCTGGTTTTGGGAGCCCGCGCACAGCGAGGAGCCGGTGGACACGCGGATGCGGTAGAGACCCATCCTGCCTGAAGACGAACGCGCCGTCTGCGGAGGAAGAGGACTGGACACGCCAATAAAGAGCCTAGGACCCCGCCCCTCTGAAGCCTAGCGGTCCAGGGTGTGGTGGTTCCCGGGTCTCCGACCAACCCCCGCGCACCCCAGAGCTCAGTCCAAGCCCAAGGAGGCGGGCCTGGCGGGGACCGGGGATGCGCCCTGTGTCCCGGCGGATGGAGAAGGAGCAAAGGGGAAGCAGATGAGGGTTGGGGCAGAAAACCTGCAGGACAGGTCTCCACCTGCAGGACTGGAGCAGATGGATGTCAGCAGGCGGCTGGGAAGGCCTCTCCAACCAAACACAAGCGCTGGTGCCCTGGCCACACCAAGTGGCTCACCCCTGCAAGGGTCATGCTTAGGGTTGCAGGGGAGGGTGAAGAGGTAAAGGAGAGCTGCTCCTCAGGAGCTTGTGAGTGAGGTACATCAAGGCCATTGAATTAAGTCAATCGCTTGGAACACTTGCCAGCCTTCCCTGTGCCAAGCTCTGGGACTCATTCCCTACTATGCATCACCTGAAAAGGACTCACCTCACAAAACTTCTGTGAAGGTTAATGAGCTTTCACTCTCCTCTGTCCCCGGGGGTCAATCTAAATTTGTAGAGGAGCCAAGGACCCAGCTTGAAGAGAGCATCTCACATCTCCGACATTATTGTGAGCCATCTACAGGTTGGCGTCAGAGAATATACTCACAAACTAAGCCCAAGAGCTTGGTTCAATGGGGGTAGACCACTATGAATATCTCCAAAATGTACCTCCTGGATTTTTCTCTGAGACTTGGTAACACCAAGAGAAATTGTTGGACTTCTTTTGGCTAGAGGTTCAGAAATGAAGAAGCTGGTGTATCCAGCTGGGGTCATGGGATGAGCTGTCTCTTTTCATCATCCTCAATAAGCCATTGTATTGGTCCAGGTCAGTGGGGGAGACATTGTTTGAATGGGGTTTACGAGGATCCACAGTCATAGATGATTTGTGGAAGGAGAACTTTCAGGAGCCAGGAAATGTGAGGAAATCACCTGGAAATAAATAAAATGCTCCATGCTCTGCTCATTTGAATCAGTTACAGGTAAAGATTGGAAACTCCATGGAGTAAACCAGTAATTCTACAGAAAAATTGCAGAGAGTGTCAAGGCCACTTTTATGCAAACAGGCTTGCATGATGGACACAAACAGGGGCCTGAGCAACCCCCTGGCTGAACACAGTCACCTCCATCAGGGGACCCACCTCAAAAGAGCCATAAGCCCTAACTGACCAGTGGGCTCCTTACAACCAGGCACAGTTACCAAAAAGGGGGAGAATTCCACTCGTCCGCAGACCTCCTCACCTTCTCCCCTTCAAACCAGCCCCCTCCCGCCACCTCCTGGCAGGCAGCCTCTCCTCTGCTGTCCTGCACCTGCTCCCTCGAGGTGTATTCAGTAAACTCCTATCTCCTTTCTTCTGCCTCTGATGAATTCATTCCCTCCCCCACATACTGGCTTCCACTCCACATTTGGGGGCCCCCATCCAATCTAGAGACACCACATTTATCCATTTAGAGAAGTCCGTACTGAATGTAGTAAATTGGCTTTTTTCTTCAGGAAAAACTGTATTAGACTGCTTTGTAATCCCGGGTGATGCTATACTACAAGTGGACTGATGAGAAACCCTTTCCCCTAGAGATAATGTCCACCCTTAGACCTCCACGTCCTCGTGTTGTTATTTATACACATAATTAAAATGCCAAGTTAAAAAAAAAAGCAAAGTAGGGGGGAAGCTTTCCCAGAAACCATCCATCAGCCTCTCCTTATCTATTTTGTCCAAAACTGGGCACCAAACCCAAATCCTTCAAGCTGGCAGGGGAGATGGAACCACGTGATCCCCTCAGCCTTATCAGGATTTCCCTGTGCCACACAGGGATGGGTGGACACACAAATATATGTAGGCCCCACCAGCAAATAAACAGAGATAATGGATTAGGGAGTAGGGACCCAAAGGGGTATGCTGCAATTAGTTTGGGAAACACCTAAATGCATAATGACATTAAAAAGAGAAAAGTCACCATGAACTGTTGCCAAACAGTATAATACAGAGGAGAGGGCTTACATTGGGATTTTTGACATTTTTATAGGTTTTAATAAGAAAGGGAATGTCACTATATATGAATGTGCTTCTCCTACATATACTTCTGTTTATAGTGAATAGAGATATATGTTCATCCCACTAGTACATTGAAGAGGATAAAAACAGACAACTGTGCGTGGGCCAAATAGTCTTGGGAAAAAATAGGAGCCATTCCAAGAACAGAAAGGACTGATCGGCACGTGTGACTACCCATGACAACCCCGCAGAAGGAGGTCCAACTCGTCAACCAGCTCTAACGCTCATGCTCCACGGCCAGGAAGAAACGGAGTCTTGAGATGCTGAGTTAGCTAAAGTCCCAAAGAGGAGCCTTAATGTGCAAACACAACCCTCCCCTCTCCTAGAAGATGAATCCACTAGGTACCCCCTCAACTACTGCAAGACATTGATAGTGCATGCATATTTTTATAAATCATACTAACAAAGCAAGTCAGTGGATCATCATAATGGTAGAACAAGGGTTCCGTAAGTCTGGCCAAATGAAACTAAAGGCATACATCATTTCAGGGAGGAAAGATAGATCAAATAAGCTAACATTTATGGGGAAGATAAGCCTCAGAGCCTCAGCTCAATCTGCTGAGACCCTCGGTGCACATGAGGGTCTGAGACAATATCCTTTTGTATGGGGTGGCGGGGCAGGACTGGGGTGGGGGGAGTATCTAACAAGATTCCAGTAATACGGAATCATCAAGAAAACATCAAAAGAAGTATTTTATCAACTTTAAGAATGTATCTTATTCCCAGAGAAAAACAAGAATGAGTAGGAGGCAATGAAGTAATGAAGTAAATCTGTGATGTTGGTGTATTTAAAACAGAGGTAAAGGTAATGACAATAAGTCTTCAATCACTGCCTTTCATTGTTAAATCTGTCACTGCAGTTTACATTGTTTAAGGAAATTTAGGTTTGTAACCAACGTTCAGATTTAGCATTTATATTTCAGTGTTTTGTTTATAGATTATGTTGAATAAAGTTGAGATTAAGTAAAATACACATGTAGGAGGGTTCTCTCCATAGGCAAAAAAAAAAAATCCTCAAACTTTGGAAACCCTATCAACAGTGAGCATAAACCCTGTCGAACAATAAGCATTTAAAAAAAATAAGTGTACACCAAAGCATTAGCAACAATTATTACTAGGGAGTAGGAGAAGGTGGGGAAGGAACTTACATTTTTTACATCCCTTGGAATTTTTTAAAGTTTTTGCAAAAGCATGAGTCATTTTTGTAATCTCAACAATTTAATATTGAACAAAATCCAAGGCTATAAGATACTATCTTAAAAGCACCAACTATAATCAAGCATGGCCCTAAAGGGAACCCCTGAAACTGATATTTAATTTTCTTTTATACATACAATTCAGAAAAATCTAAATGTAACAGAATGAAGCCCATCATCTGTGGAAATGGCACAAACCTAATGATTTTCTTACAAATTAAAAATGAGGTTGGGGGGGCCTGGCAGGCTCAGTCCATAGAGCGTATAACTCTTGATCTTAGGGTTGTGAGTTCAAGCCCCACATTGGGGGTAGAACTTACTTAAAAAAAAAAAAGTAAAAAAAAAAATATGTGCTTGAAGTGTTGCAAAGAAACCCAGAGGCAACAACTTGAGGTTATATTTTGCTGTGGTTAGGACCTTGAGGGGTGAAACCCAGGCCATCTCCCCACCTTGTGGAACAGCAGTATCTATGGAGGTTATCCTTTGCCTGGCCACCATCACATGGTGAGGACAGAGTACAGTTGAAGTTGATTTTCTCTTTAGCTCACGGGTCTTCAGAAGGAGAAGAATGTCACTTGAGATGCTATACTTGAGGAAACATTCCTGAGAAACCCTACCCATCCCAGGGCCTGATTTAGAAGATAAAATTCTGGCCTTCACATCAATGCTTAGATTAGACTTTGGGGTGCCTGGAGAGGAGGTGGATCTGGGAGGAATATGTGTCACTGGGGGCTAGAGGGCATCCAGTGGTAGCCAGTCTTGAGAGTAGCCGCCAGTGATCCACACCTCACGGTACGCACACCCTCCCCAAGTATATTGGGGTTGGTCTGCACAACCAACAGAATATGGTGGACGTAATGGTATATGACTCCTGAAGCTAGGTCCTGAAAGACAGCTTGCTCTCTTTCAATCACTCCCCCTCTCTTCCCTGTCTCTCTGTCTCTTCAACTGTTTTTCTGGACAGAGTCAGCTGCCATGTCATAAGGAAAATCCAGAAACTCCATGGAAAGGTCCTCATGGCAAGGTTCTGAACCCCCCTGCCCCAAGCCAGTGAGGAACTGAGGCCTCCCACCAACAGCTGAGTGAGGGAGCCGTCTAGGAAGCAGTTCCACCAGCCAAGGTCAAGCCTCAGATGACCACAGCCCCAGCCAACATCTTGACTATAACTCAGCAGAGAGACCTGAACTGGAACCAAGAGAGACTCTCAGAGACTGTGTGAGACAATAAATGTTCATTGCTCCAAGCTACTGAGTTTTGAGGTAATGGTATTGCAGCAACAAATAACTAACAGGGCCCACATACCTAATTTCTGAACCCTCAAACTCATAAGCTTCTATAAGTCAGAAAACATTATGAGGATCTTACCATCTACAAAATTAGTCCTCGCTCAGGCGTTCCTCCCTTATTAGCACCAGCCACAAACCTTGCCCATCCAACCAGCTCTCTGTGAAACTCCAAGTGTTGAGGAAGACAGAGTTCACCAAGTCCATGCAAGCACTTCTAGAAAACTGATCTATCAGCAAAGCCATTGATAAACAATGTTGATGTTGGAAGAGGGGCCACCTACCCGGGATAATTCAGACAGGGGCTGACTAGGGTTTTTGAGCACCCAGTGAGTAAGTGGCACATCAGCTCAATCAAAGGGACAGGCA